TTGGCATAGGAAGTGATCGAATTGGAGAATGATGTCTGAATTAAAGTTGTAGCCAAATGAGTTAGCTTTCCAACACATTTTGCATCGCCTCAATAGGACAGCGGAATACAAAGTTATGATAAAAACACTGAAGGAAGGTGCAGCTGCCTGTTGAAAACAAGAAATTCCGTTACATAGTCCGTTAAAACAACAAATTCCGTTAGTTTTTCCGTTAAAAACAAGAAATTCCGTTACATAGCCACTTTTAATATATAGAAGATATATATCAAGGAAATCTGGTACTGTCTACAGTAATTTTAACCATTATTTTTACAATAAATAAGGCCCGAAGTGTATATTATAAAGATTTGTTCTGCTCTCAGGCAAAATGTAAGAAGTGTATATATAGACTTAGGCCAACCTCGGTATCAGCTTCAGTCTGCTCTGAACTTTGAAATTTTATTTCTTCGTTGTTTGTTTTTCAAACCAGTCCACCTTTATGCAAAGCCCAATGTTGAAACCTTCCCGCAAATTGAGATACTGGAGTACTGATGGAAGTTTCACACTTTCTTGACGCGACTGATAAACACTACACGCATGTGCGCACGAAGATTGAATGTATGCATATTAATGTGATGATGAGAGAATATTTGACTTCCATTTTTTTGAGATATATTAGAAATTCTCAAAAATCTTTTTTTTTTGGCATGTATTTACAATAATATTATGCTGTGAAACTTTCAGGGTGTGCACACGAACTCTGCATAAGATGTGCATTTTACCTTTGCTCAACCAGTAACTTCCGTTCTGAATCATTAATAACCCCGGGTTCCATTCCCTGCCCTCTTTGCCGACATGGCATTGTCTCTTTTGTCAAATTGCCTGGTTCCGCAGGAAAGGAAATTAAATTTCCTATATCACTTAGCTTATGCACACCGTGTGTCCTTCACCATCGAGAACAAGGCATATCAGACACTTCTAGCTCACCTGATACGAGTAAGAAATGTGCAGCTTCTGTTTCTTCAGATATTTTCTGTCCGGTTACCTGTAGTCCATTTCCCTCTGTTGCAATCCCTTTGTGCACGTGCAATGAAGGACCTTGTCAGCATTTTGATTCTGGAGGAAATGAAACTCAAGAAGAACCATCTCGTCATTCACTATCCACATCAAATGACCAGGAAAAAACAGAAGGAATACAATTGGAGAAAAAGACCTGTTCAAGTATGTTTTGGGGTAGAAGAAGCTGCAGCAGGGAGCATCAGTGTAATGCTGAAATAAGTGCATGAACAGTTTCGTGTATGATCTTAGTGGTGTTTCTGTAAACAGAAGATTATCTGAAGTTGAGTATACCCAGATTAACGTTTCTGGTCCCTAAGTCCACAAGTTGAAGTATTTCAAAATCGAGTTTTCTGCTGCTATTTATCGTCCTCAGGTGAAAATCAAGAACGTCTAGTTCAGGTGTGACACATTGACCGTGTTTTGTAGGTCGGCTTAGAGATTTGAAACATAGCTTGTAAAAATCTGCATGTACGTGATTGATTATAGCAGATGTCATCTGAGTGTTGGCATTTTTCTTGACTATCTTCAATTGTTTTCTATAAGTTAATTATACAGAGATTTCTTTCTATGTTCCCTTGATAGTTGTGTAGAGAGAATTTTGTAAGAGCCTGCATAGGTTTGTCCAGCTCCACGATTTGTGTGTGTATCCTGGCATAGAAGTCATGCTAATTTTCTCGACTCGCCTTCCACCATAGATCAGTCGTGCTAGACATGGTTGAATGGACCCGTGGCCCACCTTGGCAGGCCTATAGGTGCACTCAACTTATTCATGATATGACAAACCTATTTACTATTTAGGGACTGTCTGATTGTAAATGTGGGAAATTGGTGAAAAGAAAATGAATTCCAGGGAATTGAATTGCTTAGAAATTGTGTTTATTGGGAATTGTAATTAATTGTGTTTGATTGGTATAATTTTTCACCTGGAAAATATTGAAATTTTGAATCTTTTGGTGATCATTTGACTTTGTTTTTCACAAAATTGTCCATTAAAGGGAAAAAAAATTTCACAATTGTGGATAGAATTTCTTTCCATTGCCAAAAAATTAAAAAAAAAAAGTTGGTTGGAAAATCAATTCTCACCAAACCAATTCCACCAATTCGTGGGAATTGGTTTTCCACCAATTCAAGGAAATTGCACCCGTGTGAAGCAAATCAAGAAAAGTAATTCCATGAAAAAGTTTTTGTATCAAAAAAAGCAAAATACAAAGTTGGAAAATGTTTTTCATTTTCCATGGAAAATCTTGGGCTATCAAACAGGCCTTAGATTTGCTTTGAAATGGATGGACATGAGCAAATGATTTTTCACTAATTATTTTACACCCCAAACCTAAAATTTATTGGAAAGAAAAGTTTACTTTGTTGTTGTTGTATTATTTTACGCTCGCTTATTTAGATTCAAATCAACCATTTTGCGCTCCCTAGTTGAGAAACAAAAAATTCTAAAATAATTTTGTACGTGGATCATTAACTTTTCTTTACTTTTTAACTATACATTATTTAAAAAAGTCATTTTTCACAAAATCTATTCTCGAAAAATTTACATCAAACATGCTCTTAATTCATAAGTCCTGATTAAGAACAAAACCCAACTTTCTGCCACGTATGGCAAAGTAATATTTCACCAATTAAAAGCAAGAGACAGATTAAAGGCAATCAAGAAACGGTAAAACACAATATTCAATTATTCTGATACATAAGATTAGGGGACGGGGGACCACTTCATAATCCCATCACAAATCCAACAAAACACTAGTATCTATGTCCCTATTAATCATCAAATCCTTCAAGAATTAAACCTAAAAGTTTGTGGGACCCCTGTATTTAACTAAACCTTGTAAAGGATTTAGCAGAATGCAAGTACAATAGAACACAGATTATAGCACCAGTAAGCACACGACAACCTAAAGAAACAAAAAGAAACATTATTTTTGCTTATAATTATTCATTAGGTTTTCATCTTTTCCTGCAAGCAGTCTCCCTTTGTGCATTGAAATACACTGCAGCCACTGGTAAACCTAAGCCGTTCTCTTCTGCAAAACTTCTTGTGTTGAAGTGGTCCCTTGAAGCAGGTGGTCTCACAGAATGTCTTGCTCTTTGCTTGAACAGAATGAACACGTATCGGTGGATCCCGATGGCAGGCTTTGGAGTCTCGTAGCTCACGATTTCTCTTCCTGGATTCATAGAATATTCGCGTTAAAAAGAACAGACAAATTATATACGCATTCATGTGTTTATGCTATGTTACAATTTGACTATAATCCAGTGCATCACTGTTCTGATCATACATAGCAGTGAACTGAAAATAGTTGAGATGGCAGTGCTAATTATTTACTATCTTGGCTCTGAGAAACTTACCAAAAGAAGCATCAGTGGTACCCGGGATATCTGTAACTATCCTGAAAAAAAACACATAATTCATTGTTAGAATATATGTGCAGCAATATCTTGTTTGGCAGGGAAGAGTGTACAGTAATTAACAGTAAAAATAAAGAAGCTAAAACCTTAATGCACATCAAAAATCCATTAAAGTTTCAAACCATAGAGTTGCATTATCTAAATGGTAAACCGTTTTATCATTAAGATGAAGAACGAACCAGTGAAGATGTTCCCTCAAGTATGCATCACTTGGGCTTGGAGCATCAGGATCAGTCATGACCTATATAAACATGCAGACAAATTGTCAAAAATCATATTTCCTATTCACACACACACACACACAAATGAGAGAAATCCTAATGTGGCAATATGAGAAGGCTATACTTACAAGTGTATAAGCAGCCCTCATGTCTTCTCCGCCAATCTCGACGCGAGGTTTAGCAGTAATGACAGCAGGCATGAGCTCATGGCCATTAGAGACTTGTTTATTGGAATTGTAAGTAACATTCAACTTCACACTTGGAATGAAATTGTCAACAACTTCTCCTATAACTCTGCCTACCGAAAGTGGTTCCATAAGCCTCGACATGGCGACGACAAAGATTTGAGAGGGAAAAAAAAGGGTATTCGCCTACTAAATTCTGAGACGAAAGTCTTGTCTGGTTTGTCTTCGATGAGATTGATTGGGGAACTCTAATGGCTTTTATAGAGGGAACAAGAAAGGAACTTTGAGGGCTTAGATTTGAAGTTCAAAGATTCTGCAGTATTTCTACTTGCAGTAAAAGGTTCTCTACATACATGAGAAAAAATACCGCGTTTGAAGATCTGTCCAACCTTTGCTAGCTGTCTTCTTCAGAAGAGAACGAAGAGCCCACTAGACTTTTTCAGAGATTGAGGCTGTTGATTTTTTCCACGTAGTTTAAACTTTGACACGTAAATGTTTAGCAAGTATTATTAGACTAGTAATGAACCAGTGCTCTTCGTTATAACTGATTTGCTACACTTATATCCTAGTTGACATTCCGTGATTTCAATTTTGCCATTGAGTTCTCCAACACTTATTAAAATCAGCAACCTCAATTTCTAATCCTAATGGGATGTCATCCAAGATGTACACATTGAATGTACCAATAGATTAATCATAATTATAAATATGAAGTCCATTATATGAATCCCTTTTCACCGCTCCCTATCAATCAGTTCATTATTAATTAATATTAGCTAGCAACCACAAATGGTTGTGTTAGTTTTGATTTAGCTCGTGTTTCTTAACTTATTTTACAGAAATCATGGGATTCTAATGAATATGATCATCTTTATATCTCCCCAAATTCGTCGTAACCATTTATTTATGATATAAATATTTCAACTTTTTTTCTTTAATAATGTCGAGTCATTTCAAGTTTACGTTTCCGTGGCATGACATAAATGTCACGATGTTATTTTTTGATTAAAAAATGTAAAGAAATTGACAAATTGGCTTGACAAGAATTTAGAATATAACTTTATGACTTTAATATCATATCTTGGGCAAATGGGAATTCAGCTTTTGAGGTGCTTCCCTAAATACAATACACATGAGAGAGGGAAAAAAAATAACTTATCAACAAAGCTTAGGAACCTGTACTTAATTCAATCAAGAGATTACAGCTATTTTATCCTTTCTAAGGATTCTTTGCTTAAAATGGCAATGACTATGTGGTTATCAATCAATAGTTTCCTCTTATAATGCATTAAACATTATGTTATTCTTCATGTTTGAAAACTAACAAAGTTGCATCTTATTTCACATGGGAATTTACCAGTTTTGTTGTATTTGTCTCCCACTTATTCTTTCTCTAGAATGATCTACGATTTTCGTATTTTAGTACGTGATTGTACAATATATTTAATAAATTTGATTACATGCTTGTGTTGTTTAATATCTATTTCTATTCTTGTTTCACATTTATTTGCTCTTGTTAGTTTCTGTAAATGACCTTAGAAAGAGGTATTGAACGTATAAAAAACATTGATATTGATTTTTTTTTCCTTTTAAATTAGACTAAGCCACTCTTTATTTGCAAAGCAAACTAGCCCTCATAAGTAATGTCTCATTTTTACCACAACTATGTAGAAGGTTGTTTCGAGAGGGACGTCGTCGTCCTCTGATCCGACTGTTAATGTTTTTGAGGCACCAACCCAACACGAACAATTTTACACAATGATGGTGGTGTTAAATTGAATGGCCGAATTTGGCAAATAGTCGTAATAAGAATTGTAATTTTGCATCATGATTAAAAATATATAATCTCGAAGGGGGACTTCTTGAAAATATATATTGTTAATTTCAAACATATATGTGTCATCTTTTTGTGATGAACACATATAACTTGAAAAGGTGAAGAGGTGAAACCATTTTTGTAACAAGCAATTGTTTACCTCTTGATGAGATTTAACATTTTATCTTAAACATTAATTTTTATCAAGAATAGCATCCTACATGGCAATCTAGACGACCCTATTACCACATCATTCTACACATATGGCAATTTGGCCGAACCCCAATTTGGCCGTATCCCATGAAGAGCTGAGCCCCAATGGATGACATAAGATAGGTAGAGGCGTATTAGAGAAGAACTTCATATTAGATCTTGTATCAAGTGGGTAATGTGACAACCCACTAAATACGTAGTTCTATTTAATCAAATAAGTCTAGTCTAGTCTTACATGTCGAACTATGGCTGTCAAGCCGTCACAACATTAAATACAAAATGGCTTATGAATTATTGATTGATGGCTATGATAAGAGATCTCAGCTGTGTGGATGAGGCCATGTGTCCCCTCATCTNTATGGTAAGAGATCCCAGCTGTGCGGATGAGGCCAGGTGTCCCCTCATCTAACGGTTCCTAATCATCATCTTCTGCTATAAAAAGCCTCACACCATGGAAAGATAATGCATGTTTAGCCATCAAAAGTGAAAACTCAATTCTCTTTGTAACACTCAAAAGCCAACCCCCCTTCTTATGTGAAAAGTAATTATAATAACAACATACAAAACGTTGTGGATAATCCCTTTCGTTGATTGATCAATGCAAGTAATTGCCAGATTTGAACATATTACGATTCGACTCATGAAGATGTAAATCTCTTATTTCTTGTTGATCACGAGTTAGAACCATCTTTTAGGGTCAACAATTTCATCTTTTTAATCCATCCCTCATATTCCAACGTGGATATATTTGATACAGCATACAGTTCTTTGAGGTATGCTACCATGTCTTCAAGCCATATTGGACTTAAATTTTTATCCTTCATTCCAATCTGGAAATATGCTTGTTGATACTGTAAATTTTGCTTTCTGTAAAATTTTGCTCCAACACCAACTACTAAAGGAAGAAAACCAACTCGACTCTCCACCCATCACTGAGGGGTCGGGGATGGGTGGTACAAGACATAGTCTGGTGTAAGTTGAGATACTTGGATATAAAAAAAAAAACCAACTTGACTATTCCGAGAACTCAAATTTACTCATGGATGAAAACGTCTTGTCAAAAATTTCATTTTCATAGGGTTTTAAATCCTAGTATGTTTTGTCCCTTATATGATGGAATTATACATGTACAACAAAACAAGGTTCCACGTGTCCTAACAAGCCTGATAAAAGAACAGGAAACCCAATTTATGTGTAATTAAAAAACAATTGCCAAGTGTCCAAGAGGAATGTACATGAAACAAGAATCTAACTTTATAAATTAGCCTATTATTTGAATGGAGAATCAATTAGGGGCCGTTCTCTTTATGTTTCAGTTTTGTGTTTTGAGTTTTGAATTCATTTTGTGTTTTGTGTTTTGAGTGTCTGTTTTGAAATTTCTGAAAATGTGTTCTTTTTGTCATTCTGAAAAACTGTTTTGAGAAATATNTGTTTTGAAATTTCTGAAAACGCGTTCTTTTTGTCATTTTGAAAAACTGTTTTGAGAAACATGAAAATGGAAAACGCGTTTACTTTGAAATTTTGAGAATATTTTTGTAATAATATTTTATTCAATAAATATAATTATTCAATAAATTTTAATAGTTTAATATTAATATAATATTAAATAACATATAAAATTGTTAGTTGGTGAATCTTAAAATATTTGTTTTCAGATATAAAAAACACATTAAATTAAATTGGACAAATCTTTATTTTTGTCCTTGTACGTAACTTATGACAATAATTACAGTGACGCACATGAACAGAACTTCGTCATGATTGGGTCAAGCGCACTTCTAACGCTACCAATGTTATTTTATTCATATTTCTATTCTCTTGTCCATCTTAGTATTTTTTAATCAAAAAAAGTAATTTATCGTTA